CTCCATTGCTAAAGGGAAAACATTGCGTTGTTTGGGGGGATGGGGGGGGGACGGGGACGGGGTGGGGGACAGGGAGGGGGATGGACAGGACACATACCTCCGTCATGCATAGAAAAAGTGTCTTAAGAACTATATGATAAAACATGATATACTTAGAATTGACTTAACTGCAAGAAAGATGCATTCAGGTTTGCAACTAAGAGAGCTTTATGCACAGGGGAAGCTGTCTTGAAATAAGTGAGAGAGGCTGATGTTAAAAGGGAAATTCTGAAGAGAGACTTTCTAAACCGCAGCAGTGTGCTTTAGTTAGTCTGAGAAAGTACAAAAAGGTTAGCCCAAATCTGGTTTTGGTTTTTGAGGGATTTTTTTGGTTGTTTTTCGGAGTAGTGTCGAGGTGTTTTTATTTTGTTAACAGAAAGTACAAGCACGAAATTGGTTCTCTAAAATTTAACATGATAAAAAGTAAATACAGAACTGGTGTGCTCAAGCTCTGCTTTTGGGGAGGGTGGGGGGTGGAGTTAATTTCTTCCAGGAGATTAACTCTTCCTCTGCTGAGTGTTGGTATTGTAAGATTTGGAGTTTGCTAATATAAGCAAGGCTTGTCTTTTTTAATTTTTATTTTTAGTTTTTTAATAAATTTAAATTGGACTGTAATAGCTAATTAGAAATGTGCAAGGAAGCTCACCTGTTGACAGCTTGTATTACTTTTCATAATCACGTTGAACTCCAGCATAACGGGTCTGAAATTTTTCATCACTGTTGGGTCCTTAGAATTCAACTAAGAAGGAGGTGGAATTGCCTTTTGATACGTAGAGCTGAGCTGGAAGTGATTAACTGAGTAGCTCATTATTTTCCTGAAATAAAAGGGAGTCATTTAGTGGTTGTAATACAAGCTTTTTTGCTCCTTGGTCCTTAAGCTTGATCTGTAGTGTCAGCATTCACCAAAATGGAAATCACTAAAAGCAACCTTTAATACGAGAGGGGTTTTTTCCAGCAGATTCCTCCCCGCCCCTATTGTACAGATGTTCTGGAAGAAACACTTGGTTGCCTTACATTTTAGAGGCTGGAATAGTAGCTGCTAATGCCTCAAGATGATATCCAAGTAGGTAAAAAGGAATGGGAAGGGAGATAACACATCAGTGAAAATTCACCAGTAAACACAATGCAAGATCTAACATGAATATCAAGTAACATTAATTACTTTAGAGCCTCTCTGTTTTCCTTGTGTGCATTTTAATTATTATTTCAGCGTAATGTAATAACAAGGGCTGGTTTATAGGGCGATGATAAGACTTGAGGCTATGACTGTGGCAGATTTTGTAAGCAGAGGGTGGTTGGGCTGAGCAAAAGATGCCCGTGGCTGTGCTGTGCATTGCATGCCGTCGTGCCTGGGATCCGGGAGGGGAAAGATTTCCTCCCCGAGTCACCTTTGAAGAACTGACCCAGTAAACAGTCCCACTCCGTGCTGCCTTCTGGTGAAATGCTAAACCGTGGTCTTGATCATGTGAGGCAAATAAGAGCTCTGGTAGCCATTTTTCCGTGCGCTGTGGCAGTAAAACTGAAACCCTCATAATTATCCCAGTCAACGTTCAATTACCTCTCGTTTACCTAAAATTCCCCCTGTATTTGAAGGCTTAAGTGGACATGATTGTTTTTGTCAGTTCTTTCCCAGTATTGCTGTGTTTATGTTTTGGCTCAACCTTGCCTACAAGGTTCAAATCTTGCAAGGACTGAATCAACCCTTCAGCCTTCGAAGAATTGTGAAGGATGGTGTTTCACTGGTTAACAAAGGTTTGCATCTCCCTTTTTGTGATGAGTCTTTAAAAATTTTGTACATTTTGGATTTCCCAGACAAGAAGTGGTATATTTGGCCAGACTTCCCACTCACATATCATTTGTGTGTGGTTCCCTGTGAATCCATCTGCTGCCTCATTATCAGTTATTAAAAGGCGTTCGAGACACTGATTAGCCTTGAGATTACTGGTGGGTAGGCACTAACATTTTTGTAAGCTGTGCTGAAATGGTCAAACCAATGCGAAGTTAAGAAATGCCTCCTTGTAGAAACGGACGTGCAAGTAAGGAAAGTAAAGTTCTTGGGAGTCCATTTCGCAGATGCCGATCTCTCCAAGTTCCTGTTAGAGACTGGACAAGTGGAAATGCCCCATACTTTGGGCGACAGACTGGTAATGTTGGTTAGCGAGACTGAGAGGCTACTCCCCGTTTCCCCAGTTTCAGCTCTGTTTTTGCAAGGCACTGTAGCCTCTGAGGGACTGGACTGTCAGGTTTTGATTATCTCTAGTGATTGGTTGATTGGTTAGTTCGGCTGAGGGCTGCTGTAATATTTCTTCTTTCAGGGAGCTCTCTAGCCCAAAGGCGTTTCGTCAGAGCTGTCACGGCCTCTGACGTACAGTCTGCCCTTCTTTCTCCGTGGGGTGAATGCCGTTCTGCCACTTTTCACCTGTTACTTTACAGCATACTGAGACCCCACCAAGAGGTGCATCAGTGTGAGGATGGAGGTGGGCAGAAGGCGAAGCCCCTCTCTTCTGCATGCGGAAGGGACCTGCTTTCATCTCCCCCTGAAGAATAAAAAATGTTATAGTTTAGGGTTTTCTGAATATTTAGCTAACTAACTGGATTTTTAAGTGTGTGTGCAGCTCACACATGCATGTTTGAACACTCCCATCCGCTTAGATCAGTGAGAGTCACCAAACTTCTTCATTTTTCAACATAAAGCTGCATTATGCCTAGACATGTTGAGCCAAATCTGTTCCTGGTGTTATTTCACTGACTTCCCAAAGAATTACACCAGAGATGAATTTGGTCTGGTATAGCAGCTTTTTTGCCTGGAGCAAGTCTTTATAGCAGAGTTGTATTTCTCTCAAAAATATAAAAGGAACACTGACAGATCTGCAGCTCTGGTGGTGTGAGCAGGTGCAGCTATATTAAATTATTTCTTATTGAATTGATTCAGCAACTTGAAGCTTGTAATTTTTGTTCTGCTATGGTTCTGTGACAGAGACCTTTTAAAGCAGGCAAAGTGCATCTCTCTTCTTCTAATTCCTTTCTCTGGTATTATCATTTTAAAGATTTTTGTTCGTACGTAGCTTAGATTCTGATCGCGTTATATATTAGGGTAAGATCTGAAAATTACAGCCTTTTCCAGTTAATCACATTGAGCTGTGTCATCGCTAGTGTAATTCCATTTACTCCACTGACATCCGGATGAATGTGAACAATAGTTTTTGCTTTTGTTTTTAGGTTTAAGTGGTTTTAGGCTCTGGTGGTCGCTTTGGCGTAAACTGGTGTGCTTCCCTTCCAGCCAGTGGAAGTACGCTCATTTACCCCCGCCTGAGGGGCTGGCTCGTTGTTCTAAGGGTGCCAGTCTTCAGCCAGAGGAAACGTGTCATGTGCTGCAGAGTTTTCCCCAGCATGAAGACCTACTTTGACTATCTGTGAAAAATAACCTGACGCTCTATGCCTTCATGTAATTGTGCACAGAAAACATGTTGTAAAGAGTTCCCGTTCTGACAACCTTATCGCTCCACCTCTGCTGGTTTGAGGTAGAAGGGTCATTAAGTTTTTACTTCTCCTGGGCGCTTCCCATGCTTGTGTTATTGCCGTTACTGCTCAGCTGCTGTTAACTTAGTATCAGAAATAGACAGAAATGTTTGCCTGAAGTTCCATGTCTTTAATGCCTTTTGGGGTTGTTTGTTTGTTTGTTTTGTAGGTATATTTCCTTTAAGACTCCAGGCTTAGGCTTGGAGACCCCAACCATCACCATTGAGCCCAGCAGCTGGAGCGGCAGCGAGAGTCCTGCCGAAGATATTGAAAGAATGAGTGATTCTGCAGATAAACCTATTGACAATGATGCAGAAGGTGTCTGGAGCCCTGACATTGAGCAGAGCTTTCAGGAGGCTCTAGCTATCTATCCACCATGTGGGAGGAGGAAAATCATCTTATCAGATGAAGGCAAAATGTATGGTAAGTGGTACGCATTTAGCCTTTGGAGATAATTGTCCCAGTGAGAACTGTAAAGCCCAGCTTGTTTTTACCCAAAATCCCTGGCTCCGATTTCGGTACTTTTGAAGTAAATCTTGAAGAAATCTGTGAAGTTGAAGGAGTTTGGTTGGGCTGCTGCGTTGCTCAGGACTGTCTGAACCAGTGCCTTCACCACTGGCACTAGGAAGCAATGTTGATGCAGAACTGCGTCTTTAGTGAACGCTATGCTGTGGCTGAATGGAAACGTGTAAAAGAAGCTTCTAAACGTGTCACCCCTTGAGCGTAAAAACCACTTAAGCATTTTTTCTTTATTTTTCAAAGAACGGTGCATAAAGAGAAATGGGAAATGCGCTCTGTGCGATCACGTGGCAGAACGTGCAATATTAAATTGCAAAGTGCTAAAGTTCTTGTCGTGTTCAGAAGCCTCTCGATGAAAGAGGCGAGTTGGGGGTGCCCTCGTGCCTTTCATTTTCTTTTTGTTTTTGACTCTCCCCTTCCCTCCCCGCAAACCGCCGTAGATCGGTGACAGCGTGGCGCAGCTCCGCGGAGGGAC